GCGCTTGGGAGCGCGCCGCTGCCCGCCGTGATGTCCTGCATGGATGCGCGCAGCGCCGCTTGGAGCGCCTCGTCCTCATTGTCCAGGTTATACGACATGCTTGCCCTGTTGAAAGCGCGCCTAGAGCGCGCTGGGACCCCGGACGGGTCGATGGGCTTGGTTGGGATCCAGAAAGCGCTGTGGAGGGGCTTGAGACGCAAACAATGGCAAGAATGTGACCAAAAATACCGTAATAGACCTGGCCCGATTGTCGTTTTTGGACAGCAAGGGCACGAGGAAGGATACATAGGATGCGCGCCGTCACCTGGACACCCTGCTCTCTGCCGCCAGCGCAGACAGTGACAGCACTGCTGGCCATTCACGGCCAGCGCGTTGGTTACAAAGTCACAAGTTCATTGAGCCAAGCTCATGTCGTGTTGCTTGAGCCATCCTTAACTCGGTCAACGGTTGCTGCACTATCAACCCAACAGCTGCCTGCGGCACTCCCGCCTTCAAGGAAGCAAACGCAAGTCAATATGTACAGAGGTAAGCTGTAAAATTCGAATCGATGTTCTACCTGGTCAACAAAGCACAGGTAGCTCACAGCACAATTGTTTCTTCGGCAAACGCGGTCGCAAAACGCACGCAGACGCTTTGGAGCACCTAGAGCGCTCAGCTCGCCGACCCGCCGCGCCATGCTGCTACCCCTGGCTCGCACCATCGCCCCCGCCCGCTGCCCCAGCCGAACCCCCACCAGCACCAGCGCCATCACCCCGCCCGTGTCCCCGCCCTCGCCCCCGTCCGCGGCCCGCGCCGTGGCCCCTGGCGCCGCGCCCCTCAGCTGGCGGCTGATCCGCCGTCTCTCCGTGCACAGCGCCGCCCACTGCTCCAGCGCCCCCTCCGCGGCCGTCGCCTCCGCGCGCGCGGCCCCTCGGGCCTCTGCGCAGGCGTGGCAAGCGGTCAGATTCCGTCGAAGGCGTCCCCAAAGCGAAGTCACCATGCCTTCCTCAACACCAAAGAAAGCAACACCTGGTGTAACACCCAAAAGCCGCCCATTCTCAACCCCTGACAGTCAATCCATTTCATCCCCCCATAAATCCATATGTTCATGCACGCACGCACACACACACAGAAACACACACACACACACACATGCACGCACGCACACATGTATGCATGCACTAACGCATGCACGCACGCATTCAAATAAAATGCCGGGACAGCCCCGCCCGCTCGCCTGCCGCGCAGCACGCGCCGCGTCCTGTGGCGTGCGGGGCGCCCCTCCTCGTCCTCCTCCAGCAGCGCCGCCTCCTCCGCCGCGCCCAGCCGCGCCGCCGACGCCGGCAGCGGCGCCTGGTAGCCGGGGGCCATCGCGTCCAGCGGCTGTGGCAGTATGAGATGCGGCCACAAGGAGTCCTGGTCCCGGGTATTGCCGTGTTTTCAGGCTCCCTGAACCCTGAATTACCTGTTTTCAAGATTTAGGGTCCCTGAAGCCTGGGTCACCACTTGATCCCATCGACACCCATTTCCCACGGCCCCCCGTGTGCCCGTGGTCGGCTGGGCGGATGTGCATGTACGGGGGCCTCCACAAGCGGCGGTGGGCCGGTGCCGGCGCGACACGTCAGGGGAGCGGCGTGCTGAGACTTGACCGACCGAAGGGGCGCCAGCGCGTGGCGCCCTCACGCACGAGAGGAGCCGCTCCTTCCACCACCGCCACACGCCGGCACGGGCGGACGGTGCCGCCGCTGGCCCCAGCGCCGAGGGGCGCTCGACCCTCTCTACCCCCTTCCCGACGCCCGCGCCTGGGGGCGCGCCCCAACTCGGCTCGGCGCAGCCGGCGCGGCCAGCGGCCGCGGGGCGCGTGCGCTCAGGGGCGGCGGCCGCGCGCCGCACCTCCTTGGACAGCACGATCTTGACGGCCGACGCAAACCTCGTGACGCTCACCGGGTCCAGCCCCGCCTGCCTCGGCTCGTAGCTGTCGACCACGCTCACGCTCGCGATGGCTGTGGATTGGTGCAGCCCCGGGATGCGGCGCTTCACAACCTCGGCTGCGTGCGGGGCGGCGGGGGTTTTGACGACCTGAGTACTGCATGGGCCGAGATGGGGGCTGGTTTGCCGGCGCCAGGCAAGGGGGCCACGGCTTGTGAAGGCGTTGGGCGCAGGGGGCTGCAGCTTGCAGAGTTGTGGGGCTGGGGGCGGGGGGTGAGCCGGCGCTGGAGCGGGTGAGTCATGGGCAACAAGTGACAAATGGCTTTGAACGCCCCATCGCCGGCACCGTAATTGACCCGGCCGGGGAGGGGGGGTTGGCAGGGATGGGGGCGCGGCCGTCCGCTCACCAATGGTGACGGCCGTTGTAATCGCGCGCCCAGTGGACTTGAGGGTGACGCTGCTGTGGCCGCGCTCCTGGAGGCAGGCTGCAGCACGCGTGACGTAGCCGCGCATCTTCCGCGTCAAGGTGATGCGGATCTGGGGCGTGATCATGGGAGGAGGTTGCGCCGGCGAGGGGGGCAGCTTTGAAATGGGGGGGGGGGAGACAGACAGGCGCGTGCGGCGACGGCCGCGGCCGCGGCGACGGCGGTGCCAGTGCGTGTGCGGGGCCACAATCTAGGCGGGCGCTTCTTGCGGCTGCAGCGGCGCTCGCGGGGTCGCAGGCAGGCAGCCAGCTGCGGCCGCGAGAGGGCGTCTGCGTTCTGCAGGGGCGGCCGCCGGCGGTTGTCGACGCGGTTGGTGCGTCCCCGCTTGCCCCACACCTCGTTCTCCGGCACGTCCTCATCCATCTTGTCTCCGTCTACGACTGTCGTCACAGTGTAAGCGTCTTTTGTTGATGCCGCCGCCATGGCGCCGAGCGGCGTGCTGCGCCGTGCTCCTGCTGACGCGGGTGGATGTCGCGGCGGTGGTGGTACGTGCTGGTCGTTCAGCACGTCAGGCGATGTTGATGAATTTGCAATACTATGTGCTAGATTCATTCATGATGATATGCACAAGTAACCCTGCTGATATGTTTTCGCAAGATCACGGTCATGCAGCGCTCGATGATCGACATCCAATGAGTACTTGATTTTGACTCGTGCGCGACATCATAATTAGATTATTGCAGCGGTGCAGTGTGTTCGCACTCCCGGCACCGGGCTGCTTTGCACTGTTGCGGCTCCGGCTGCCGCCACCGGTGGGGCGGCAGCAGGGAGCGGCGCCTCCGACTGCCGTGCCGGCCCCACGCTCTAGCGCTGCGCCCGATGGCGGACGCGCCGCGCCCCGCCGCGGCACCCCGGGACGGCGCCGGCTGGCAAGTGGGGGACATCGTGGTCAAGACGACGACGCGGCTGACCACTACGGGCGGCACCGTCTGGGGGGCGGCGCACCGCGCCATAGGATTCCTGGAGGCGTGCCGCGGCCAGCTGGGCCTGGAGCGGCCGGGGATCAGGGTGGGTGGCGGCGCGCGCATGCGGCCGAGGGATGCCAGTGAGGCCGCAGGAAATGGACGCCTGACTCCAATCTTGGACCCCCGGCGCTGGCCCTGGTGTGCTGCCGCCTCCACCATGCACGTCACTGCCTGCCAGCAGCAGCAGTGGACCACAGCTGACGTACAAGCATTCGCTTGATGCCCCGCCGCGCGCAACATACGCAAACAAACCCATTCGCTCACACACACACACACACATTCATTCAAACATGCTCTCACGTTCACACACGCATGCTCTCAAACACACGCTCACACGTACAGAAATGCTCACACACACATGCTGACACACGTACACACAAACATCCTGACTCGTACTCTCACGTACACACATAATCCCTCTCACACTCTCTCTCTCACACACACACACACACAAACACCCCAGATCCTAGAGCTTGGCGCCGGCTGCGGCCTGCTGGGGCTCACTCTGGCCCGCAACCTGCCGCAAGCAGGGGAGATCTGCCTCACAGAGCAGGCCTTTGGTGGCGCCCTGGACCACCTGCGTGAAAACGTGGACGCCAATCGGGCGGCTGGGACGCCCGGAGCTCCAGCAGTCACCACCGCCGCCTGCGACTGGACTCAGGCGCTGAGCGGCGGCGCGGGCGACGGCGGCGCGGGCGACGGCGGCGCGGCGGGCGGGGGCGCGCCGGAAGCGGGGTCGGCCGGGGGAGAGGGGCAGGAGGAGCGGTGCGCCGACACGGCGCGGCTCATGTCGTCGCGGTGGGACTTGATCTTGGGATCAGACCTGGTGGGCGAGGGCGGGGCCGGCAGGGGCGCGGTGGGGCCGGGGCACAGAACCAGGAGGTCCCGCCGGGCCTGATTGCGATACCCCAGCGCCGCGCCCCCCATTCCGCCTTCCCCGACGCGCCGTGCAGCGCTGCCCCCCACTCCCGTGCCCTCCGCCGCGCTGTGTCGCGCCGCCCCTCTCCGCTCCTTCTCGGGCGCCCCAACACTTGTGGGGGGCGAGGGCGCCATCCCAACTCTCCAGCTGACCCGAGGCCCTACGCCCCGCTGCCTCATCCGCAACGGCGTCTCCCCCACGGCGTCTCTCCCAAGGTGTATAACGAGGCTGGCACCCACATGCTGCCCCGTGTCATGAGGGCCCTCGCGCTCGCCGGCCGCGCGCCGCCGCCCCACGCACCCCCAGCCGCCGAGCAGCCCGCACAAGACGGCACGGCCCAGCCCGCGCCGGGGGTTGCTGAAGAAGTCGTGGCCGCGCCGATCTACTACGCCCATACGAAGCATCGGTATGACATCTGCGACGTCCTATTCATGGAGCAGTGCGCGGCGGCCGGGCTGGAAGTCGAGGAAGTGTGGGAGCCCGGCACCCCGCGGCCGCCGCCGTCGCCGCCGCCGCTTACGGAGCTCTTCCCCGAGATGCGCTGCGCAGTCTACAAAATCACGGTGCGGCGGCAGCAGGCGTGCGGGGGTTGAAGCCGCGCGAGTCCTCCCGGCCGCGGACAGAAGCCCGGCTCGCCTTTCGGGGGTGTGGCTCCTCGGAAGCGTGTGGCCGCATGGTTGCGGCGGCCACGCCTCGTCGGCTCGTCGCCCCTCTAGGCGGTGTGGCCAATTCAATTGGCGCCCCCTACTGCCACGCGGTCTGCTGCAACTTATTGGGTTGGTTCACGCAGGTCGCTGGCTACCCCTGATCATCTCCGCTTTCTCCCAAAGCCTCGGGAACCCAAAAACTTGAATTTTGGCGGCGGCGGCGACGTCGCGCAACGTAAATTTACGACGATACCTGCATTACCCGTGAGTGTGACCAGTCAGCTGTGGCTACAGTATCAGCAGGAGCCTTGACCCAGATCTCAAGTGCTGATAGACCCACAGCCGCAGGCCTTGCTGCCAGCGGCCTTGCTGCCAGGAGCCTTGCTGCCAGCGGCCTTGCTGACAGCATTGCCAGCTTCAGGCCAGCATTGCGAGCATGCCTTGCTGCCAGCAGCCTCGCCTGTGCATGGCGCCATGCTGTAATGGACGGTGCAATCAGCGTTACCATGGGGTTGCATATCGCAGCGAACACTGCATGAAATAACTGCGCCAAACCGCCCAAGAGGCGGCGGCTTGAGGGCGCTGGTTGCAGTAAAGCCAAAGGGGCGGCTGTGGGGCAGGGGGGGGGGCATGTGGGCGACAGAGGCGTCACGACTGAGGGGCGCTGCACGTCAGCAGCAGGTGGCTGTGCGAGGTTCGCAGTTAAGAGTGCAGGAAGACGGAAGCGAAGGGTTAGGGAAAGCAAGCAACACCTGGCTGAGCCTACCAACACTGCTCCGCACAAGCGGCGCTGCATGGAGGCACCGCAGCCGAAAGCATTTGATGGAGTGGGGAGCGCGCCAGATCAAGGCAGCGCAGGGCGTTTGTTGGTGCAGCTGTCTCTTCTAACTTTGCCGCATGCGTTGTATCAGAATGATATGCCATGCACAGGGCATGTGCTTGCCTGATTGGGAGGGCGGTGCAAGGGAGTGACGTACAAGGTGGCCGGCGCATCTGTGCGGCCGGCAGCTGGCTGATGTGTGCCAATGCATGGACATGTTGCGGCGGCCTCATTGCAGCCGATGCGTCCAATACCTTTTGGGAGGGCACCAATACCTTCGAGCAGGATCCAATACCTTTTCGAGACTGCCAATAAGCCTTGTGATGACAAAGCGCATGCCAAGCCCCACAAGAGGACTCGGTTTGCGGCAGTGAATTTCAAAGCGCGGCGCAGCCTAAGCCGACACGCCACGCCCTCGCAGCCACATGGCCGCACATATTCCAAACATCCATGCGCTTGCAGAAGTATCAGGATCTCGAGATCTCAAACAGTCACAACGGCCGTGCCATCAGTGCTGCCGGGCGCTGGCGGCAGAGGCCGAGGCCGCCTTCGCCTTGTCCGCCGCGCGCTGCGCCTTGGACGCGGCGACCTCGCGGTCGATCTCCGCGAGCTGCGCGTACATCTTTGACCGGTCAAACGCGCGCCACGCCGCGTGCGCGTCCTTCACGTGCCGGTTGGCGGTCAGCACGGCGCTGTTGCACTTGAAGCCGCTGCCGAAGGCGATCTGCCAGACGCGCGCGCCGCGGCGGAGGCCGCCGTTGAAGGACTCGGCGTAAGCCAGCTCGTACCACACGCTGCAGCTGCTGGTGTTGCCGAACTCGTAGAGCGCGGCGCGGCTGGCCTCGACCATGGCCTTGCCCATCCCCAAGTTGTCCTGCATCGAGTCAATCACGCCGCGGCCCCCGGTGTGAATGCACACCGCGTCGAACGCCTTAGAAAACGCAGGGGTGTAGGGCCGGCGCCACGCGTCTGGGACCAGCGCGCGGGCGCCCGCCGGGGCTGCCTTGAGCGCGGCGCGCAGCAGCGCGCTGCCGGCGTACTTGGCCTGCTCGGAAACCGGCAGCACGAGCGGCCCGAGGCGGCCCATGTTGCGCGCGAGCGCGCGGCCGGCGACGCCGATCAGCTCCTTTTTCAAGGCCACGCCCTGCTTCTTCTCGGCGTCGTCCGTCTGCCAGATGCAGCCGTACGCCTCGTCGTCGGCGGCCATGATCGTGCGCACGACGTGCCTGATCGTGTACTTCGACTTTGAGGCGTCAGCGGGGCGGCTGGACAGCAGGATGGCGGCGCCGTTGGAGCGGAAGAGGGTGTTGGGGATGAGCATGGACTTGTCGCTGCCCAGGTAGTAGCTGCGGGGGTTGGGGTTGGGGTAGGGGTTGCAGTGGGGTTGTTAGGGGACTACAGAAACGATGCAAGAAGAAGGGTAAAACCGCAGGCGAAGAGCCGGCACGGCTGGCCAAGCCAGTGCGCACACAAGCACAGGGGAGGCGGCATTGGAGGGGCCCCTGCTCACTTGTTGCTGATGTTTTCGTGGGACACGATGAGCGCGTAGGAGCCGGGGTGCAGCTGCAGCATCTGGCGCGCCAGGTCAAGCGCGACCACGCCGGCTGAAGGGGGGGGGGAGGGCCAGGCACATGGATGCAGGGAGGATCCGTGAGGAGTGAGAGGTGGAGGTGGAGACTGCAAGGGTGCAGTGCTGTATTGGCCCTTGGACGCCGATGATTTTGAGAAGGCTAAGGAGTGGCGCACGCGACAGCTTAAACAGGGCCGCTCAAGTGCGCAGATGGACCAGGCGTGCAGGCAAGGACGCGCCCAACGCGCGGTGAGGAGCCTCACCGCTGCAGCCCATGCCGCCGAGGGAGTAGTTGATGGTGGTGTCCCGCAGCTTGAAGCGGTTGATGATGGCGGCACTCAGGCTGGGGGTCGGGTTGAACAGGCTGCTGTTTGTGATCACGAACCCGATCTGGCTTGGCTTCACGCCCGTCTTGGCAAGCAGCTCCTCGACGCAGGAGAAGCACGTCTGCTCGTATTCCAGTCGCGCGACCTCGAGGCCGGGCTTGTCGGCGGGCGCGGCCTGGACGGCGGGCACGACGGCGGTGGAGTCGCCGAGGCCGCTGCGGAAGGCGAGCTTCTCGAGGAAGTCGATGTCCTCGGGGCGGATGGTGCCGTTCTTCTCGGCCACGCGGCGCACGTCCGCGCGGGAGAAGCGCCAGCTGGGGATGGGGTGGGGT